TGACATGAATTGGGAAAGTAAACAAATCAGGGATGGCTTTTGCAAGACCCAGAATATCCATATTTGTTTTATGTTTGTTCGATTTTTGTGATTAAATGGAATGGTTTTCATCTTTGTTGTAGATTACTACTCATTCACGTCTGCTCTCTAAGAACGATTTGGGAGACATATGCAATCAAACTGGCTTTGAACGGTCGACTGTGGATTCCATGACACTTCAACAGTTTCAAACGGAGCAACAGTTTAGGGATTCAGTCAGGTGAGAGCTTGATTTAAATTAGCGCGCAGAGCATTGTAACTACATTGTTTGTGCAACAAAACTCCATTATTTGTTTGAAACGAGCCAATAAAAAGGCAAAAACCATGAAATCAGCTGAGGTGAATTTCTTTTCCAGTTAACTAAAAGGAATAATTACTTTTTCTCTACTGAAGCAAGCCGTCACCTTTTTCTCGCAGAACCTTTTTTGAACACCTTGGTGGCAAATGTCCTGGTATTCTTCTGGTTCAGTGTGATTCAGGAGATGAAAACTTCAACCTGATTGCGGGTGCAAGACACATTCTTCTGGAAGAACGAACAAACGCGTCTGAAATGCTCAACTTGTCATCGTTGGAAGCTGTCCACATTGTGCTGATCACACAGCTGCCACGAATTGCTGGTGGATGTCGTAACTTTGTCGGTTTCCAGGGTGGAAAATGGATGTCCGCTCACATTGATGAACTTCGTCCACCCGGTAGACGCACTCCTTCCATCGAGCAACTCATCGATCGTCCCATTAGTGAGCTTTTTATTGGAGACCGCATTGAGAAAGATGACGCTATGCCAGCGGTGATGGTGGCGGTAAAGCTTCTTCGTAACTGTGTACAGGCGGCTGCTTGTAGGGTTGATAGCGAAACGGAATCAGATGAACGGTCAACTCATAGGATTGAGCTGCTTTTGGATTTACTACCTGATGACTATCAAACTCAGGATGGTCAGTGAATAGAAACAATAAACAATGTGACATAATAGAATTTTAGAAAAGTTCACAAGTCTTTTATTGTAAGGAATATAACCTTTTTGAAAGATGCAATTTTAGCCTTCAGAGTTTTAAATTTGTCTTTCTTCATATTTGGAAGACGAATGCAAAATCCGCAAATTTCATTTGAATATTGCAATAATCCAGTTATACCATTGGTGTTATCCTCAAAAGATCTCCAGAAATTTACGACAAGGTATTGATTAAGGCACTCCTTTTCCTGTAGTTGAAAAGATTTGCTATTTTCTATAATAAAAGTTACTAAGTGGAGACCTCTACAGATTGGCGAATAGCAGAGTTGCTGTAGCAGTGTACGAATAATGCGCTACTTTTTCAGAGGTCTTTGCGATAAAGAAACTACGAAAGACAATCCATTTATACGGCATCCCAAAGTTGTGACCATCTTCGTCTGGTGTTGTCAGGGAAGCTGCGAGAATGGAAAGGGTGGATTGATTAGGGTATTCACCGCTTAGAGCTTGGAATATATTAAACGAACAAAGCAAGATTGGATTGGAACGAGCTTAAAATTTTTTTGTTGATCTATTGAACCGTTTCAATTTTGGGTGCAGTGCTAGAGGACTTTTAAGTGTTTTTCAGAATTGTAGTTTTGTGGGTAATAGTTGAAAGAACGGAACATTTTTTGAAGTGAGTTGAAAACGCCAGGTCTAATTGAGCAATTGGTAGAATTGAACTCTTCAATTTCATTATTTTATCAATCTGTTTAATTCTCACTCCCATCTCTTTTAAGATGAATTGTCATTTGCAAGCGTGGCGGTACAAAGAACATACTACCTCTTAAAGGAAAGGGAACTAACAGCGGTAAATCCACAAGGTTGGCTCCAATCAGAAGCTCTGTCGGGAACAGGGGTGCAAGAGTGGGGCACCTTCAGAAAGGCTCTTCTGCAGCGAGTGTTCTCTGTTGTGGTTCCTATTTTTGCTGAAATCATTGCGTTGGCAGACAGAGACTGCAATTTAGACTTGTTGGAAAATGACAACCCGTGGGTTTCGAGATTGTGGCTAAAGATCTTGGCCGACCGTAGCATCTCAGAGCTAAGTTATAGTGACATGATATCACCCGCTACTAATTCTGTTCGAGAACGTGTCCAAGTTATTGGTTCTGGGGCCGGTGGTCATCGTTTTTCTTGTCGATTTCCATTTTCGTTTATTATCAAGCAACGCGTGGAAAAATTGTTAAAAGACGCATCGAGCGTCGAAGGTACTTGATTTACTTTTGGCATTTTTTTGCCTATTTTTTCAGTGTTGTCTTTCCGTTTTTTATAACAAGTGATTCACACGAAGCAATCACCCTAACTAAGATTTAGTGTATGATCACCAACATATGAGTAAATCAAGACTGACGATCACTATTGGTGAAGCATTATCCTAAATTTTCTATTGTTTACGAAAACAGGAAACGTGGTTAAAAATCTAGGTGCGAACATAAAAGAAATCACCAAAAGGAAATTGTCAATCAATATAATCTGGTGCTCATGAGACGCCAATAAGGTAAATTGAAGGACTCGATTTAGTTCTGTGTAGCAACAGTTGTCTCATGTATGTTTTGTTTCCTCGGTTGCAGCTCATTCTAGCGCCACTCTGTTAGACTCTCTTCGTGAATTGATCGGTAACTCGCAATTGGGACCCCCACTCGCTGAACTGCACTGTCTGTACTCCGCGGAACTGCAGTATCTGATGGATTTTGTTCACATGGTGTACAAGCCTTCCAGCGATATGGAACATGAGGTGTCATTTCTACCTGTGTTTTTCATCGCAATATCAGATTTCTTTAGAGAATAGTTATATCTGCTTTCGTAGTTCTTGCTTCGGCTCTTCACCCAAAGCGCACCCTTTCCCGTGAGAAATCGTTTTAATCATTAATTTATAAATGTAAGCTATAAAAAACGATGTATATATATGGAATGTGTTACTATACAAGATGAGAATTGACCTTTTGATGGGAAAGTCAAAGAAAAATATTAAGCTTTTAAGTTGTGAGATGATGCTCTCTTTGGCCCAATTCCACTCAAGCTTACTTTTTTTTCCTTCTATTCTTTCAGCTTGTTTACGAAGCGATTCTTTCGTCAGCGAGAGAAATCGTTACCCTGGAAGATGAGGATGGTAACGAGTCGATTGATATAGCACTCGTTCATGTTGCACACAGTAGAGTTCAACACCGCTTGAGGTGTTTTGATGCACTTGTTAAAGCGAATCCAGATCTGGTACCAAGACTACGGGAAGCTCTTCAAGGAAAAGAGGCAGAAGTGGTAAATTTAAATGCATTATTGTGGCCGTTTTTTATACGGTAGTTTTATCTTCATCCTTATTTTAATGAGCTCCTAATTCACTTGAATATTTTAATGCATTATAGAACAGAAGCTTTAATTAGTAGTGATTATTAACATCATTTCTACCACAATAAGCAAAACTTTTCGTAGGGGTGGCTTACGCTGATAAATGTATGCCTCTTGAGCAGGCCAGGTTATTTTATAATATGAAATAACCTGGCCTTCTCTTGTTTTATAACTGAAAATGATCACTTGTTTGTAATGGCGAGGCAGTCACGAGCGCAAAATGAGGCCCCCTTCTTTCAGGTAGAACGTTTGGCATTGTTTAACTATTGTGTGATGTGGTCTTTTCTGTACCTTTTTGAATTTTTAAAATTTGTCACAGCTTTTGGATGTCCTAGCATTGAACATTTGTCTTGAGGCACTGGAGCCTTCACAAGAGATGTTGCTTTCTCCGGAGACACTACGAACATGGTGTGACAGAGTTTTGTCTATAAGGCCAGCGGTGGAAGACATGATAAGGAGAGAGAGGTTTAGAACTGTCACGGAGAAATGTTCAATCTATGGAGAGAAATCAACAGTAATTCTTGTTCACTGCAGGTAACAAAACACCAAATTTTCCCTTTTTGAGGTTGGTTTTGATTGTGACAGAAGCAGAAGCAGAACCGAGGTTGCGGATGTAAATGGTAGGAAATGATTCTAGATATTAAGGATGACGCGGGAAAGCGAATTATGCAAGCCTTTGGCCTTAGTGACTTATCGAATTCGATGGGGAAGGTATTTGTGCTTCGCATAAAGATTTCTTAAATTATATCAACGCAAAACGTTTGAAGTACCGTGTTGTCTAGAGGGACCCCTTTGGTGGAATATATTGGGAATTGCGTATAAATGAGGAAGTATTGCTAATTACGAGATTATTTCCTTCTTGTGTGGATCAGATCCATGTGGCAGCGAACAGTAGCTGTTCGACTCTTTGTGGAGCACGTGACTTTGTTCGCTGAGAAAGATAAAGATGTCAATTCCGAGAACGTCATCAGGTTATGGAGGGTAGGTTAGAGAAGGAAATGCAAAACAAAAATATTCAACTAGAATTGAAATTCGATAATAACAAACTGCTCTCTTCCGAAGGTTTTGGGAGATGAAACTGACTTTTCATCATCGAGATCGTTGCAGGCCATTGAAAAATTCTTGATTAACTACAGTGAAGGTATCAAGCAGAGGTAAACCAGCAAGTTATGCACAATTAAGTAGTTACTTTTTTACATTATGGGGCCTTATTCTTCGCAAGTTTCGGAGACTACAAATCCTCCCACCCTGCATCACACCAGGGCTTGCTTCGTTGCTGGTTCTTGTCTTTGCCTTCCGGGGTTTTTTTTTATTTGGATCCTCGATTTTTTTCCCTACATGAAAACCAAAACTCCAAAAGCCGAATCGTCCTGAAGTCCATACACGAAGAATTTCATAGTAAAATTTTCACAGAGTAATCATAGTTGCCCACAGCTTTAAATGCCAAAAACCTAAGTTATTTTTGACTGATAGCGGAAAACGATGGCCCATGGCCGAAGCTGGAGCGTTATCGAATCTGAGGTTAAAGAAATAACTCTTCCGCTAGGCTGGTACTTATTCATGCTTTATTTATGACCACAGGACCACTGAAGAAACCACTTTTGAGTTACGTCGCCGATGTAATGCCTTTTTTATGGAGCTGGTGTCAACATTCTCCTTTGGTGATTCGGTGTCAAAGGACCTTGAAAAGGAAGCTATCACTTTACTTATGCGTTATGTTATCGGTCATCAATCAACTCAGACCAAGGATTTCTCTCCATTCCCTGATTATGCTATTGACCCCACCCCTGTGGTGCGTTCATTTCTTCTTCAGCAGCTATTGTGCTCAAGGTAGAAGTATTGAGAAGCAATCTCTTTCTCAATCACAACACGCACACTTTCCTGTACCTCTTACCATGTCTGATTTTCTTTTTTCTCATCTACAATTCACATTAAATTGTCCAATTAATGAGTTGGGGGGGGGGGGGGTAAGTATATACTAAATTGTCTTTTATTTTTAAAAATAGTGTGAAGTTGACAAAGTTGGTGAAAGACCATCTGGGAGATTTCTTGCATGGGGCTCGGAACTTAAAACCAGAACCTTCGCACGTCAAAGAAGTCTGCTTCTTATGCGTGCAGTGCATGGAGGTGTGTAAACTTAACTAAGACTGTACTGTGAGGTGAGGGTAGTTCAACTGAAATTAAATTTCCTGTACATAACCGAGATTTTATTTATTTGTCTTTTATTATATGGAGTAAATTGTACCATCAAGTAATAGCTGTTCTGAAATCTAGCTGCCTTTTCCTCAGGACATCCTTATCAGCCGTTATCAAGCCAAAGTGACCGATTCGAAGATAACATTCCAGCTCAAACATGCTAAAAAGACTTGCGAGGAGTCATTTACAGCTCTTAGGGCCAGTGACGAGGATTCTGCTGAAATGAGTGCTCTTTCTCTGGATGGGGTTGCCAAAGGACGTTACGTCTTATCATTGGTGGTAGAGTACCTTTACAAGTTGTTCATTGAGGGAGATAGCAGATACAAAGACCTTGACGCCAAGAGAGAAGTGATGTTATTATTAGAGTCTGCAAGGAAGCTTTGCACGGAAGTGTCGAGTTCCACACCGCAACAAGCGTCGAGTTCCACACCGCAGCTCTACCTACTTAAACAGCTTGTCAAGCGGTATGGCTTGGACTGTGTCCGAACTCTGGGTGAATATGAGGAATTGGTGTGGATTCTACCTCCAGAGGCCAGACAACAGGTAGACAATGAATGATTGATGAATAGATTTCGTTGAAATGTGTGAGAACTGAATAATAAAAAAAAAATAGTATGGATATGTCGTAAGCGTGAGACAGGAAAGGAATAATCTGGATGCTAGAAGGATTCAATTTTGGTGAGTTCCAACTACGTAGTCAGGTGCTCTAATTACTGTGTACATGTTAACGAGCCAGGCCATCTACTATGTGAACTGAATTTCTCAGTACTCAATAGGAGCAAATATACCTAAATCTCTCGAATATATCTCAAAGGACCACAAGTGTTTCCAGAGCGCAACGGTTAAGGACTGGAGGAGCGAAAAAGAGAAACAACTTTTGAGAGTCCAGACTCCTTCTTACTGCTCATAATGGAACACTTATCTGAAATGTTTGAAGGCAACAATCTCTTTACATTTTACTTATGGTAATACATGTTGCTTGCTATTGATCTTTGGTCTTCGATTTGCAGGAGGAGGATATAATCCAAGACAGGTTTATTGTTCATGGAGACCATTATTGTGTCGTCCGTGAGGGGCTGGCTAAAACTGTCATCAGTGGGAACATCCAAGATGTTGTCACTGCCATTACGGTTAGTGTTCACTGTGTATTCTTTTCTTATTGTACCGTTTATCTTCGTCATTAGGGAGTTTAAGAAACGACGATAGCGACGCCGTAGACAACGTCGTTTAAAAAATGAACTTATATTTTACCTACGAAGCTCGTGATACTCCTAGGTTGTTTAGTTTGTTTCTTGGTGTCAGAACGATCTCGGAACTGAATATGGAACACACTGTCAAATTAGAATCAAAGTGCTCTGTGAGCAAACTCGTGAATTGACACATGATTTTGACACATGATGTTTGATGTTATCTGGTTTAGGGAATTTTATGGTCGATTGTCATATCTAGAGTACGAGCAGTAGTTCAGTATTCGCTAATGTAGCAAAGAAACAAAGTAACGTTGGGATAAGAAGGCATTACAATTGAAATGATCATGCTCTTACATTTGACAAGGTGGATGATGTCATGTGTTTTAAACGTCTATCATTTTTGTTTCTGGTTCAAAAGAAAAGGTTGGAAGTAAATGTGGGTGAAAAGTGAAATTTACTGTCTTTCGTTGTAAATATTAGAAAATCAAGGCAATACTGTCTTAATGAAAACATTAACGATTCCCTCTTTATCAAATCAAACAAACTGGAACGAGTTTTGAGTGATATGACTAAGCCAAGCCTGCCACCGTCATTTTGGATCTCCGCCTGGGTAGATTTAAGTCACGTGCTAGGCAACGTATAATCAATAACAAGATAGAATTTCATTTCAGGCCTATTTATCAATTTTGTGGTGTGTAACTTTCGCATTTTAGTACGTTGTATGTATGCTAAATCTTCAAATTTTCTTGAAACTTAAAAGAAAATTGTTCTTTAAAAATTCACTGAAAATCGGTAGCTAAAATTGTTTGTTTAGGTGTTATTTGATTTTCGTGTTAACTTGTAATTTCGTCAGTCGCCGGCATCTTTTGTTGCTTCACACAGGAAAAACACACGCGACGAAACGTAATGATCAATTTTGTCCTCAATCTTGCGCCATAACAGAAAAAGCTTTTGAACATCTGTAAACTTCGAGCGCTTCGCAGTAAGTAATATTTTCAATGAATCTTCGGATTGTTTTCGAGTTCAAGGATTGTAAATTACAATTTCAGGAAAAACGAAGGTTGTTCTGTTATTTCAGTGTGAATCCTTGCATGCCTGCCAGTCGCTGGCGCCGCTTGTTGAAACTAAAACGAAAAAAAAACTCTTTTAAGATTATCATTGGCTTCTTTTTCACCCCACCACTATTCTTAGCAACAAAGGTCGCCATTTCTTCTGTTTACTGCTCACTAAAAACTATCAAATGCACTCAAAAGCCTAAAATCTAAAAAAAGTTTACAGGAATCGACCAATCGAGCGAGCGAATGCCATTCCCTACATGGTATCTATAACTCGCTCTTGCGCATGCGCGCAATTCACGAGTTAAAAAGGAATCTAAAAAATTAGCCGTCGACGTTCATGTTCTTCAGACAACACAAAGTTTGGTCATTTCACGTTGTTGTTTTGCAGAGGACGCAAAGAAATTTACAAAGCTTTACTACGCACGTGCACAGCTATTGTTCTACTCACTAAACCTTTTGTTTAGTGACGTTCCCGTTGCTGTTGCCGTCGTGGTTTTCTTAAACTCCCTATTAATGAATAGGTAAAGGTAAATTGTGGGTTATATCACTCGTTAGCTATCGAGTTAAACACTCGAAGAAAAATTCTATGTCTACGCACGCCTACGTATTATTCTCTACGTATCAACTCCAGACATTCAGAAATGACACAGATATGTAAGAACTCGTCGGTACTCATTTTTGATAAATGTCACACGCGATAAAGGAATTTGATGACTGGCGGATTCCTAATACAACTTCATGGTTATAAAATATCAGCTGAATTGTTTGCAATGCATTCTCAGCAGTTAACATTATTTTATTATAAGCTCTCTTCTTCGTTGGTCACTTTCAAAATCTGTTTACGATTCCCATCAGGTACGTTATTCGTTAGTGTTGCAGCCCCTCCAAAGAAATATGCTGGATCCACCCCTGAGTTATAATTACAGACTTAATCTTAAGATAATTTGGTTCTATCCACTGAGTTGCTTATTAACGAAAACTGGCCACCGTTTAACCCTTCGCCATTCGCTCTGCTTCTTTAGAAACTTACCCCCTTTCTTTCATAAAAAGTTTCCAAACAACTCACCATTAGAACTTTTAAATATTTTTTCTTAGGAAACAAGATTACAAGATGTCTCTAAAAATGTAATTCTCCTCTTGGTGATATACCGTGAAATAACGATGGCAAATATTTCTCTAGCTCAGACACAGAATTTGTCTAAGGAGGTAAGGGAAAACAATATACCCTTTCTGGCCAAAGAAAATGTTAATTCTGTTCCGTATGCGTAGTCATCCTTCCTCCTTGCTAATTCG